TTAGAAATTGTTCACATAGAAAAAATACTCAAATGATCAATTTCCCCAATTTTCCAGTAAAACAGTTTGATTTTACATAAAGTTAAATAAATATCATATTTCGGATTCCCCTCGGCAACGATTTGCGCATTATTAAAATAGAAATTTGAGTTTACTTCTCAATATGGCGCCTTAAAAAACCTTTTCCTCTTTAATTTACCACCTGGAAGTTAATTCTCTTTGGAAAGTACTTCGCTTCTATCCGAGCGAGCTTTTATTAAATTTTTGAATTGCCCCCCGACAGTAAAAAGAAAGGTAACGTCGAAATTTATTTTGATATATAATACTTTATTGGGAGTGGGAGCACCGGTAAACACGTTTTCATTGATTTACTTTGTTGAATTAGTGTTTTTCTAATTAAGTCGTCGTCTTTGTCCCTTGATCTACTCTACAAACTTATTAAAGCGTTAATTTTAACACTTTCAAATTTGACTTTCACAAAAAAATGTGGTGTCAATTGATAACAAAAATCCCCTATATACTATTCGATCGGGTGTTTTTGATCAAAGCCTATGTACTGAAATTCATCATAATCGGTCCAACAGCTTGCCCGTGAAAGCATGACAAACAGACAGCTATGGATCCATACTAATAATATTGATGTGAAAATATAAAAATAATGTCTCTTGGTCTGTGATATCTTTTCCACCTTGCCGTTGAACTGATTAAGATGAATTTCTTTATGGAGACAATGTGGTTATTCTATAATATTTTTTTAATAAAATGCGCAACGCGCACGCCAGTAACAAACAAGGAACAAGCTTGGACTAGTTACGCCATGTTTTGTTCATTTCACTCAAATGTCATTTGTTATTCAATAAACATGGACAATACATGGAGTAACTAATCCAAGTGTAGTTTTCGTTTATTAGTAAGGGTTTTTTTTCTTTTTTTATGCAAAATAGGCAATACGTTTGGCCACAATCTCACCTGATGGAAAGTGATGATGAGGCCTGGGATGGTACACGCCTGCCTAGAAGATGCCTATTCACTCTGGCCTTGAAGGTGTCCAGATTATATTGGTCCAGGAAAACAGACCTCGGCAAGGAGTTCCAATCCCTAGCCGTTCGCATAATGAAGGCCGAAGCAAATTGCTTCGTGCGAATGGGAGGAACTTCGAAAACATAAGGGTAGAAGCCCTCGCCGCGCCTGGTCGTCCGATGGAGGAAAGGGGAAGGGGGGATCAACTTATGTAATACCTCCGCACATTCTCCGAAATGTAACCGATAAAACACCGAGAAGCTACACGTCTTCGGTGGTCAAGGCTCTGGAGATTAGCCTCAACTAGGCTTGTGCCTGGACTACTCCGTTCAGTAGACATAAAGTACATACACTATTAGTCATAGCGCGGGCGCAAAGTGGACTATGCGGGTGGACTTAAATAAATGGAATTTGAGATTCATTGATGTGTACATAAATACATAAGACTTATATTATACTGTCACAAACGCTCTCGAAACGGAACCGCGAAAGTGCTAGAGATCGAATGTGCCAGAGCACCGCAGGTCGCGATAGAGATCGAGTAATGCGGCTCATACTAAAATGAGCCTAATACAGTCCGGCATAAGGGAGAAAGTGCAACGAAATCTGCACTTGTTTACAAGTTATGCGCGTTACCTGCGTAGGTATATGTAGGTACTTCGTACTCGCGGGTAGCTAACTCTCAATTTAACAGGTACTTTCAAGAATGCGTCGATCGGCGTATATAAGTGCGATTGGCGCCGCGCAGAGACAGTTGAGTTTCAACAGCGATTTCGGTGCGAATCCAAAGGCGATCAAAGTGCAACAAAAGTGTTCAAGTGAGATTGTTTACAGACTTGTATAGTGAGTGTTTTGTAATTAACATGGTGCGTTAATTGTGTGAACTGTGTGGTGAATAAAGAACTGTCAAGCGTGAACTGGCATACATCCCGACACGTAACAATACATAAAACAAATTTCAAAGCGAGTTAGACACGTGGCGTCTGAACGCGCTCGTAACGTTTTGTTTTTACGCATTAAATTCAACTGCATTTTGAATAGTGTTATCTCACGATGGTTACTCCCGACCATGTAACTTTATGGCGCGTTCAGTCTGTGATTGTGAAAGTTAAGCAACTTCCGCAATGACCGATCAATGGATGGGTGACCAAAACTTTATTATCTCGAACTCATCCACGCTTTGGAAGGCACGTTGAGCCGTTGGCATCCCGGCTGCATCTGAATCGTTAATACCCTCCAATCGGCACTAGACCTTCGCGGCGGCCATGGTCCAATCTCACTAAACCATCCATAGGGAAGGCTTTTGCCCCAGCAGTGGATATATTAATAGGCTGCTGATAATGATATTTTTTCTTATAACTCCAAAATATTGCGAACCTCAGCATACATCAACACGCAGCTAGCGGTCTGAGATCAGGCGGGGGGTCGCGCGGGTGTGTCGTGATTGATGGATATGCCTTATCGAGGCCTATGTGACGTCACAAACGATACAAGGCTTTTTGGTTTGGTAGGAAGTACCTGTGACGTCATGACGGATGTACAGTCACGTTCTTTAGATTGGAGTCCGCCTTAGGTTGAATGCCGGTCAGCAAAAGGAAATGGAATGAGCAAATTTTTTGACCGAATACTTTCTATGAAAACGCTGCTGTGCTGATCCGAGAAACGTACGGAAATTTTTGATCAATCAATTTATTATTACCTTGCCCGCTGTTATTTCCGATTTTATTAAATGGTCCGTTTTTTAAAATGAATTCATACAATAAAAGGAATAAATTTATAATTAATTAGTGAAAATTTGGATGGGTTTTACCAAAATTTAAATCGTTCTTTGGTGGTTTAGAAAAAAATGTGAATTAATTACATTATATTGGATTATCAACATTGTCATTATTATGCAACACTGACAGAATGTTCATAAGGAAAAAAATTAAAACGAAATAGTACCTGTAGAATGGTGGTTAATATTCAGATAATGTCAATGAATTCGAAAAGGTTTTGACTCGATGTTTCAACGCTTTTTTCATCTGGAGATTTCGATCTTATTGCAATGTGAATGTTCAAACCACATTTCAATGAAATGGGTCCCAACTTATGGCATCTTTACATGATACAAGGCTTCTTTGGCAAAACATGTACTAAAGCTAAGAAGGTGAGTAAATAAAACTTCGGCCATTTTTTATTTGTTTATTTATAAAAAAGCAAACATAATCTTAAACACACACACATCAAAAAAGTTGTTTGAAGTTTGAGAAACTTGTTTGTGCTATTAATTACAATATTTTATGTTCTCAATAACACAATTTGCCGATGTTAAAAATAGAAACCTTTCGATTGTGTTTAGGTTGTTTAGGTACTGGATCCCAAGACCGCCAAACCTTACTTACTTTCTCATGGATAATCGAGTAGTATTAGTGTGTACAATGAACGTATATATACATACTAGCTAAGTGCTAACTGGTGCTGTAAGCCAATTTTCAGGTACAGGTGACACAGGCACGTAAAAAATTTACTCAGTATGATTACAGTCTGAGGACTCATAGCTAGGTATGTTGTTGAGAATATTGCAACAATTTGAAATTGTTTCTGCTAGACACATTATGTCAGCAGTTTTTATTGCCAGACACTTTTAATTTCAATAGCAAAAACACAACCTTACTTATTATCTGCAATAATTTTGATAATTAGATAATAAGATATTATTGAATTATTGTAAACTGCTTCCTTTACACTATTTATAAGAAAGCTTTAATGAGGCTGTATTAACAATGAACGTATTTAATTACCATGATCGCGCCTTTTCACACAATGGCACTTTTGATAGTGCGTTGGGAATTTTTGGCCCCTAAGATTGGTCTGGCAGCTTACGAAATACAATAATAGCTCCCCAAAATTCATGAATTGTAATGACCCTCTTTTTAAGACAGAATAACATATAAGTAATGGTATATTAGGTAATTATTTAACACTTACTGTTTGATCTAGATATGGTATGGTATGCCTAGATGTAATATAAATTTAGTGTTTACCTAATTAATTGTAACTTTGACATGAGTGTCTCCGTGTCTATAATTGTGATTGCTTAAGTGTTACAATTGTTTGTAAACCTATTAAATAAATAAATTGAAATATATCAAAGATAAATATCAGGTCTCAGACTATAAGTAAAGTAAGTAACATTTTTACGTGCCTGTGCCGTCTGATATCTGAAAATAGGCCCACAGTACAAGTTAGCGAGTATATATACATTCATTGTACACGCTAATACTACTCGGCTATCCATATTTTGTATATGAGAAAATAAGTAAGGTTTAGCGGTCTTGGGATCTTACTCTATATAGTATATAAATATATAACAATGAAAACCTTATTTTTTTTATTTAACTGATAAAAAACAAATCCGTTAGGTAATCAAAATATCGTCAAATATCACCCCATCTCGTTCCCGGCGCAAAGGTGCCCATTTTTCTTGCAGCATTGCTACGCTGGATGGCAATAGACAATCTTTGTGCCAGAAACAACCCGGAGCGGGGTACAACAATAATAAAATCGTTCAAAAGTTCTAAACCGTATAAATGTTGGTTAAACTTTTTTGATGAGTATATTATCAAGTTGATAAAAAACAAAAAGTTATTCAATTAATCAAACATTGGCGTAGCTCAATGTATTTCTAACACTAAGAAGAGGAAAAGAAAAATATGAAAATACTTTACCGAAATGCCGTATTTTCCTCTAAGAGGAAACCTCGTGCCTCTTTCCTTTAGAGAATTTAAAGATAATGTCTTTCCATTATTTTTAAAATCTCTAAATCTTTATATTATCTTTAAATTTTGTTCAAAACATTTAATAATTCTTATAAAAAATGTTTGCAATACAATAACTTTGAAGCAACGTTTTTTATTAAGTAAGTACAAAAAATATTCATTAACTGAACTGAAATAATTACACAATTTATCATTTCGAATGTAGTAGATACCTTTATTCCAAATTGTACACGAAATGAATTTCAGGGAAAATTTAAATGAAAGACTGTCGATTCACTCCAAAGCTTTGATGTTTAACGCAGAGGTGCCTACCTACCTGCTGTAAATTTAGTCCCTTTCCAATATAACGTTTATTGCTTTTAATATTATTAGCAGCTGGCTCTATAAATTGTTTTTACAGTCATTAACATAGAGACAAATGAAAACACACGTGAAAGTCGGCAGTTCATGCGAGTTTGTGCCGTCACCAAACGTTTATTTCTGTCTTAAAAGCATCGGAAATCCAAAATAGACAAGTCCAATGGCTCTTCGCAGCCACTCAGTGCACGCACGCGGGAACCGAACGCATCTTAAACCAGACGTATCCACGCTCAACAATAATACGCTAAAAGCGACAATTACAGTTTAAAAACGGAGTGTTTAGAGACGTCCGCTCGCTATGGCTGTCAATCGCCGAATGACTGCCATTTTGTTTTTATTGTGTATTGTTTGTGTAGTGAAATGTTGTGATGTTGATGATGTGGCCGTTTATAAGGTGAAGTTGAAGATGCTATGGAGCGAAGAGACTTTCCCTAAGGACTATCCAACGAACCGACCGAAAGCACAATGGTCTCCCGTGTTTGGTAAGTTAGTGCGTGAATAAAATCTTCTTCTTAATAAAATAAAGATATGGTAAATAATATGTGATCAAACAACCTTACCTTAAGTGTAGTCCGATCATTATTATATGAAGTGCTTCTTTCGAAGATATCGTTAATAATAATGTTAAGTGGGACGATGCAAATAAAATTAGGTTCAATTCTAAATCTCAGAGACAAAAAGCTAACTTTTAAATTTGATTTATGGGTAATGCTGTCAATGGTACCGATTCTGGCATGATTTTCTAAACTTAAAACTAAATTTAACATCAGTCTTCTTTTCATTCTGTATAAAAAATGACGAAGATACACTGTTGTCAAATTTAAGTTTAGTTTAGAGAAGCATGCCAGAATCGGTACCAGTATTTCTGCTTTTTTCTTCCGAAGATTTTGTGCTGGAAACTATACTACAACCGTGAATAATATTTATATATACTTACTTCAAATAAATAATTAAGAAATATTTCCAACACTCACATTAATCAGCCTAACATCAAAGTACTAAGTATAAGATTTGCACGTGTCACATATTGTACAAATACGAAAAAACGCAGCGTCATCATTTAGGAATAATAAAGCTTCCAATTGCTGAAATAATTTTTAAATCGAATCAGTTATTTAGTTCTCATCATTTTTTTGTCGCACTATTCGTAAATGGAATGCTCTGCCTGCTCACGTGTTCCCTCCTTCTTACAACCTGGGATCCTTTAAAAGAGGCGTGAAAAAGCAATATGCAGGCCGGCAAGATGAGAATAGCTGGTGTGGCAGGTAGAACTGCTGTACTAGCTATCTTCACGTCTGGACTTCACCATTACTTAACAGCAGGTGGGGTGGAGTCATTTGTCGGACTTATCTATAAAAAAAAAGTTCTAGAGATTCCTACATCACAACGAACTCAAACTTTGGGTTCTCTTTTTAATATTAGTGTTAATCCGTCTAAGGTAGTGTTCAATGATAAAGTGAGAGTCGAATTCGCATACGAAAAGTTCTGTACCTACTATTGATAAACAAAAATTACTAGGTGGAATGAAAACGTTGAGAAATCACATCTATATTAATAATATAAAGTTAAAGAGTTTGTTTGGTTAATCGCATTTATCTCAGGAACTACTGGTCCGATACTCTTTTTGTCACGATCTGTACCCTTAGCACAAATCAATATCGAATTGGTAATGTTTGCGAGTTCGAAATGACATTGTCAAATGTATACTGATTTTTAGTTCTCGTTACGTACTTTGTGCCGCTACTGTTCAAGTTTCCATAGAAAATTTGACATTGACATTTCGGTTTGCAAACTATTCAAATTCGATAATGGTTCGTGATAGGGGTACAGGATACAGTACATCGATGAAAATGTTGTATACCAAAATATTCCATTTGAGAGCTTTTGTTGCGTGTACATCGAAACCGGTTAAAGTTACATAAAAATCATGTAAGACGGATTTTTTTTCTTTTAAAAGTTTTATAAATAAGTCCGCGACAGCATATATCCATCTTTAAAGTTTGTCAAATAAACTTTCCCTCAAATCAACGCGGGTGAAACCGCATTGGACCTCTAGTCTTTTATATGGAGAAACCCATTCCATTTTATTATTTTTAAGCCTTTTTCATTTGTTATTAAAGCAAAAACACAATTTAATCTTCTTCTAAAGCGGTTTATGAGATATAGCTCCTTGATAGACGGATGGGTGGACAGTGGGGTAACAGAGTCCTTCTATTACTCTTTGGCTATGGAACCCTTGACAACCGACTTCTTAGACCCATTTATAGAGAACTCTCAAAGCTAACACTAAAATTCCTCATGACTTAATTAGGAATTCTTGATTTTTCCAATACCCCAAAAAAACAGAAAATACCGCCGACTTTTTCCACCAAATGCAGCAAAACTTTCTTATTTTTTTTTCGCAGAAATCCAACCTTTATTTATTTAATTACCGCAGAACAATAGGGTGTACGACAACGGAGAACTCAAATGGGGAGTTTTTCCCTTTTATCTGCGAACAGTTAAGTGACGTCCCGCGGCTTCGCTCGTTTCAGATAACGAAGTATTTATTTGTCTCCCCCTCGGAGATGTTATCGGTCCGTTCCTTTTCGCAGTTCTGAGTGATTTTGTCTTGTAGTTTCGTTCGAGTCGACTTATTGTTTACTTTCAAGTGTGGTGGACTGTCCTTTGGTTTTTGGCCGTTGCGATCTTGAAGTCTATAGAAACTTCTTTTGTTATCACCTATAAATGTTCTTTCTGCTGAGGCACTGGAAGTGGCTATGGGTGAAATAAATCAATATAAATAAACAAATATTTATGATACCAATTCGCCTAACCCCAAAAAAAGCAGTGTTAGGTTTGTATTATGGGATACTAGGACCATGACCATTTGCCATGACGCAATCCTATTGCTGATTTTTGCTCGGTTAAACGATATTTAAAAAATATGAAGTTTATTAAAATAAGAGGTGTATTAAACAAAAACACTGTAAATAAAACCAAAAACTTAATAATACATCAATGACTTTTGGGAACTATGAAGTTTTTTTTTTCTCTTTTTATTTGTGGCTACAAACAGTCATACATTTTCATATAATTGTTCTGTGGTTACTGGAAATTATAAGAGACGACCTACAGTGCAAGCAATTTAACTTATTAGTTACAGAAAAACTTTATAGAACAAGTATTGTACTTAAAAAAAATACATAAGAAGATAAAACATATAAACATGCAAAAATATTTTAATTTAGATGTTGTCTTTTAATTTTAGTTTAAGAAATTTCTTTATATTACTATGTGAAATATTAAATATATCAATGTTATTGAAGTTATTATTATAATTGTTGGTGGAACGATAAATAAAGGAATTTCGCGTGTATAATTTAGTGAGTGGTGGAGGAACAAATAGTAATCGCTTGCGAGAGGACCGCATAGGCATACGCACACGGTTCACGAAAGATATCCTACTTAAAAGCGCAGAAGAATCTATTTGATCGTTGAGTTTTCTAGTCTTAAGAAGTTTTGTGGTCTTAAATCATACATTTTTTTTTATTTTAGACGCTTTTTTCTTGTCAAAATTATGTAAGAACTGTAGCTGAAGAGGTTTTCGAAAAAAAGTTAAATTGGGATTGTTTACTGTGAAGAACAGAAAAGAAGCAATCCTTAGGGGAAATCGTGATAGCCAGTTTATAAGGAAAATAAAATTTATTTTATACATTACCACTGTCTATCTGCATCTAATAAACTTTATAATATATTTGTATTTGCGAGAAAGGCGACAACAACTCGACGGCAAAGTTTTATGAAGCCAGTGCCGTGGGTGAGGTATTTCATTTTTGTCTTACCATTTCCGGCTTCTCTCTGTGGATGATATTTTCTCACGGCGGGACGCGACCCATATACAAGAGTAAATTTAGATCAAACACGATGTTACTGTATAAGTTTTAAACACGTACAATATTTATATTGATGACATAGGAAAACACAATAACGAAGTAATTTTATTTATAATAATGTTGTTTTTGTTGAGACTATGGGAACATGGGCACCATGCGCTCGTTCCTTCTTTAAAGAATTATCTAAGAAACTCACAGAAGTGATTGGCGATCAAAAGGCTGGCAGCTACCTTGATCAACGGATCAGCCTTGTTATCCAACGAGACAATACTGCCAGCCTATTGGGCACCATTCCTGGCGGCGGCACTGGGGGTTATATATTTTTGTATTTTATAAAATATTATTTATTTAAGTAGGTAAGTTTTAAGATAATTCTATTTTTAAGTTTTTAGACATTAAGTAGTTTTTAAACTTTTGTAATTTAAATATTTGTTTGTAAATTACCAAATAGAAAAATATCTAAGAAATTAGCTAGTCGTTAAATAGGTAAGTAATTTAGATGTTATAGAGAGAACGGGCAAAATCTAGCACGTACACTTTTTGGGGTTCCGTACCCAAAAGGTAATAACGGGACCATATTACTAAAACTCCACAGTTTGTCTGTCTTTCTGTCTGTCCTCAGGTTGTATCTCATTAACCGTGATAGATAAACAGTTGAAAGTCTTACAGATAATTGTGTACTTCTGTTGTCGTTATTTTCTTTTACGGGAGGCTGCACACGATATTCTGTGCCTATTTTGCGTGTGAAATGGCATCAGTTCTGCCACCCCAGCTCCTCCGGAAAGTCCAGTAGTCCACAGACGTTATTTTCTAATAGTATCCCTGAACTACCAATGTGTGAATTCCATTGTCTTTCAACGCCTCTGCATTCCAGTAGAACTTGGGCGCTTATCTTTTCCTCTAGGCAACCTACAAAGCGAGGCATACATTACAATACTGTTCCAAATCTAAACAAAAATGTACTAGAAAAAATCTACTCGGTACAGGAAGCAGTCGGGACTCGAATCTGCACCCTACGCTATGCGGGCAGATGCACTGACCAATTATGTTGCCGCGACCTTAATGGCCGTGTCGAATTTCTTCTAGCTATTCTTAAGCTGCAAGGCAGCGCCATCTCTTCGCATTGTAGGTAAGCTACAATGTCAAATGAAATATCTTAACCTTCTTATTAATAAACACGAAGAATAAGTTTTGACTAGTTGTGCCGTGTTTTGTTCATATAACGTAAAATAATTCAATAAACAGAGACAAAACAGGAGTGGCTAATCCACACTTTTTATTTGTATATTAAAAAGCTTATAATAAAACATAACTTTAAATGCTATTTCTTCTTGCAAATGTTTAATACTTGAAAAAATATTCATTTGACATTGTGGGTAACCTACAATGCGCTGAGAGATGGCGCTGCCTTGCAGCTTAAGGACAGGAAAAATTTCGACGCGGCCATAGCATAATTGGTCAGTGCATTCGCCCGGATTGCGAAGGGTTCGCCCGGATTGCGGGTTCGAGTCCCGTCTGCTGCCTGGTCATAGTTATTTGAAAAGCCTGGTCCAAGTGGATTTATCTTCTATTAAAACTTTTCCTTAGATTTAAACATCGAGCAGTTA